TTCTGCTAGCATGAACCTTAAGCCAGCAGAATCGCTCCCCTTAAGGTTGGTTTGGTGGTGAAAAATTATTAGGGTGGTAATAAATTAGTGAAAAATGGGTGAAAAAATATGCCATCAACAAAAAGTTTTTTTTTTGAATTCTGCTAGCTTGAACCTTAAGCCAGCAGAATCGCTCCCCTTAAGGTTGGTTTGGTGGTGAAAAATTATTAGGGTGGTAATAAATTAGTGAAAAATGGGTGAAAAAATATGCCATCAACAAAAAGTTTTTTTTCCAAATTCTGCTAGCTTGAACCTTAAGCCAGCAGAATCGCTCCCCTTAAGGTTGGTTTGGTGGTGAAAAATTATTAGGGTGGTAATAAATTAGTGAAAAATGGGTGAAAAAATATTACGTAGGTTAAAATGGATTCCGCTCATGTGTCCCCGCTAGCTTAAGGGTGCTGCGCGCCATCGGAGGTTAATGCTTAGGTTGCGGTTGCTTAAGAGCTTTCTCATTTTGATGAATTTGGATCTTGCTATTTCAATTCGGATCTTAATCTCTACTTCTGGGTCCCACTTGTCATTTACTGTATATCCCAGATATTTAAATCGGTGTACTCTTTCAATACGTTCGTCTTCAATATGCAGGTCGATATGTTGAAATTTTTTTTTACTGATCACCATAAATTTAGTTTTCTTTCTATTGATCTTCAGTCCAAATCGGCTGCCAGTTGTATTAACTCTATGTAGCATCATCTGTAAATCTTCGATGTTATCGGCCAGTATAATAGTATCATCTGCATATCGAAAATTACTTATTGGTACGCCATTAATCTTGATGCCCTCATTGTACTCTTCTAGTGCCTCTAGAAATATTTGTTCCGTGTACAGGTTGAAAATCAGTGGCGAAAGAATACAGCCCTGTCTTACCCCTCTAGAAATGGTTATGTTTTCACTCACCATATGTCCATTCTTCATGTGGGCTGTTTGATTCCAATATAGATTTTTTATAATCTGGATGTCCTTAGTGTCAAGTCCTGAAAGACGTAATAGTTCTATGAGTTTGTCATGTTTTATAGTATCGAATGCTTTCTCATAGTCGATAAAACAAACGTAAACATCTTTCTGTTGATCCAGGCATTTTTGAATCAAAACTTGTATTGCAAAGAGGGGTTCTCGAGTTCCAAAACCGCATCTAAAACCGAACTGTGTTTTACTTATGCTGTGTTCTAATTTTGCTCGTATTCTGGAATGGATAATACGCAAAAATACTTTAAGGGTGTGGCTCATTAAACTTATAAGGCGATATTCACTACACGTCTTAGAATTATATTTCCTTGGGAAGGGGCACAAATGTATATTTCAACCAGTCCGATGGAATTTGACCAGTATCGTATATCTTATTAAACAGTTCCAATACTACATTCAGGTTGTTCTCGTTAAAAACTTTTAAGAATTCGACTGGTATTTCATCGCATCCTGTTGCTTTCCCATCTTTCGTTTGATCTATAGCTTTTATCACCTCACTTTTCAATATTTTTGGTCCATTCAGATCAAGAGTGTTCGTAGAAATATGACGATAATCCGTAAACAAATCTTTTATGTAGATTGCCCAAGTCTGTAACTGTTCTTCTTTATCTACAATAAGTTTATTGTTCTCGTCTATTAACCTACCAAACTGTTTTTTCTTGTAAGTATAAGTAAACTCCTTGATTTTTTTATGCATGTTAAAACTATCGTGTCTTCGTTCTAGCTCTTCTATCTCTTGACATTTTTCTTGCAAGGTGTAATATTTCATCTGTCATCCACTCGTTCTTCTTCTTCCGCTCGGAGTCACCAATTACTTCTTTTGCACCGTTGCATATAGCGTCCCTTAAGCTGATCCAGTCTCTTTCAATATCATCAGTGTTGGTTGTTAAAGCAACATTACTATTAATGCTATTTGTAAGCTTGGCTTTTATCTCAGGATTTCCAAGTTGATCCATATCTAATCTTTTGTTATTCTGTTTCTGGATTATGGTTTTTAGTCTTACTCGTAATTGGGCTACAAGAGGATTATGATCAGAGTTTATATCAGCTCCAGGATATGTTTTGGCTGATATTATTGCGTTACGGAATCGTTTGTTAATTGTTATGAAGTCTATCTGATTTCTAACGATGTACCCAGACCTATCCTGTGGTGACTTCCAAGTGTACAATCTTCTTACTGGTAGCTTAAACCAAGTATTTGTGATAATTAAGTTTTTCTCCTGGCAAAACTGTATTAGTCGATCACCTCGTTCATTTTTTGTTCCCAACCCATACTTGCCAACTACGTCACTGACTTCGCCTTTTCCTATTTTGGAGTTGAAATCTCCCATTACCATGGTTATGTCTTGTTTCTTTAGGTTTTTTATGATGTCGTCTAACTGTTCGTAAAACTCTTCAACTTCTTCATCCGTACTCTCCGATGTGGGAGCATAAACCTGAATTATATTTATGTCTAGAGGGTGCGCACTTAGCTGGATCAACATGCAGCGTTCTGAATATGGAATAAAAATTTTTATATGTTTTCTGATGTTATTATTTACTAGAACCGCTACTCCATGCCTATGGTTGACATCTTCGTCTCTGCTGCCTGAAAAAAATATTGTTGCATCCTCCTTCTCGCACTTACCATTACCTGGCCATCTTATTTCACTCATCCCCAGAATATCAATTTTGAGCCTCTTCATTTCATTAATTGCGTTGTTTAGTTTTCCAGTCTGATAAAGAGTTCTTACGTTCCATGTAGCTATCTTAATAGTATTATTTGTGTCACAGTATGCGCAAATCAAGGGCTGTACATCGTTCATTACAACGGCAATTACATCGGTAATTTATTGTAAATTCATTGTAAATTCATTATAATTTCATTGTAAATTCATTGTAAGTTCATTGTTAATTTATTGTAAATTCATTGTAAATTCATTGTAAATTCATTGTAAATTCATTGTAAATTCATTGTAAATTCATTGTAGATTCATTGTAAATTCATTGTAAATTCATTGTAAATTAATTGTAAATTCTATTGTAGATTCATTGTTAATTCATTGTAAATTCACCTTAAATTCATAGAAAATTCATTGTAAATTCATCTTTAATTCATTGTAAATTATTTGTAAATTCATTGTAAATGCATTGTAAATTAATTGTAAATGCAATTGTAATGCAATTTTTGCCCCCCTCCACCTCATGTAACGCACCATAACGTTTTACAAGATCCCCTCTCCCTACCTAAACGTTACGTAATACTCAAGTGACCATTTTTACCTAAAAGTAACAATTAAGTATGTTGCGAAAAGTACCGAAAAGTCGGTAAAATAATTTTTTATTGTTTTAATCTTATTTGCAGTAATAATAAATAAAACAAGAGATTTGTAACTCGCAATAATAAACTTTTACTGCTAGTCCTTCGTTTTTTTACGTTTTTCTACTCCATCTTTACATAGATTTTTTACTTTATCCCTTTTGTGATGGACGGATCAACGGATAACCTCTCAAGAAGTGGAGAAAACTTGCATAATTTCTTTATCTTACTGACTAGGCACCACGAGCTTGCTTGGGATTTGAAGGATGTCAAGCTTTTGACTTCTTCTCTATAAATTATTAGAACTTTAAGTCTACGTGTTTGTTACAATACCAAATTGTTATTAGTGACGCCATATATTAAGGGTGTTTTTTAAGAGATATAGAAATGTAAGTTGGTAAAACTTTTTTAACTGTAGACCATTTTGACAGCTGTCAAGTGATTAATGTTAAGTTTGGTTTGGCATTTTAGCATGAATAGACTTGACACCTAAACAACGCCTCCAAATTATACAAATTTATTTTAAAAATTGTGGTTTTGTTCGAAATACGTATCGTGTATTCGTCCATTTTATGGTCAACATATTAGTCCATTAGAGCAAGTAATTCGATTAACCAGGGAACGTTTTTGCACCAAGATTACTCAAAATGATAATATGTATCCACAGATACGTCGTACAGTTCGTACAGAAACAGTTGTTGCTGCTGTAAAGTGTAGCATAGAGGAAGACCTGAATCAGTTTATCTGCCATAGTGCACAGTAGTTAGATATGTGTCCCTCGACTTTATGGAAGGTTTTGCGGAAAGATCTTACTTTGCCTGCTTACAAAATCCAACTCATGCAAGAATTGAAGGTACATCATCACCTAGCAAGGCGTAAATTCGTAGATTTGGTCAGTGGGTCCAAAACGGGATTGCCGTTGATTCCGATTTTCATAAGCTCACTTTTAGTTAAATGACTACATCAACAAACAAAACTGACTGTTTGGTGTGCTTACGGTCTGGTGGAATCATTGGACCATACTTCTTCAAAAGCGATGCTGGCCAGAACGTTACAGTCAATGGTGACCGCTGCGCTGTAGAACCATGATTACTGCCTTTTTCATTCCCCAAATGGAACAACCGCGATGGGCAGGAGCTGTCGTTTCAATAGGACGGCGCAACATGTCACACAGTTTGTACTACAATTAATTTATTGAAGGAAACGATTGGTAACCTCATAGTTTCACGTTTCAGACTGTAAATTGGTCTCCAACATCGTGTGATTTAACACTGCTAGACTATTTTAGCCTTGTGGGGATATGTGAAGGTGTCAGTCTATGCCGATAAGCATGAATAGATTGACCACTTAAAGGATGACATTCCCGCGTTATTGCCGATATACGGCGACAAATATTGGAAAAAGTTATCGAAAATTGGACCTCCAGATTAGAGTATTTCAGACTAGACTATTAGACTATTTCAGAGCCAACCAAGACGGTCATATACCAGAAATCATGTTTAAATTATAATGCCAGAAGATTATCCTTCAAATAAAGTCAATTTCATGTCAATTTAAGAAAATCATCTTTGTTTTATTCCATTTCAAAGTTACCACTAAAAAAACACCATTTATGAGATTTATTAAGTGATCTCTTATAATTCTTTTACTGCCTTTTTCACATTTTAACCAAACCTTACCGAACATTTGTTTTAAGATTACAGGATGCGGTCTACTAGGAGTGGGGATTTGGTTGAGAATAGCTTACGAAGGATACGCGAGTCTTCTGCCTCAATATGCTCTACTCAGCGCTGATTCCTTGGCCATCACCTTCGGAACCGTCACATTCATCTTCTCCTTCTTCGCCTGCTGTGGATCGTGGTTCCAAAACAGGTGTATGCTAATAACGGTAAGAATAACAATATACGTAAATAGATAGATAATAAAATAGATAAACAGTAACTGTAACTGTAATATAAAATTAAGTGATGTTGAAATTAAATTTATTTGCTTTGATATGTTCTCTTATTATACTTTGTTTTCGTTACACTGATAGAAAATTCTAAGCAACAAAATTTTCATAGTGGGAGATTAACAATAAATGCTTAGTAATTTTCTTTCAAAAGTAACTTCAGAAATATGTGGAAACTGAAAATTAACGTTTTTTTCCATATTTTTAAAGTTTTTCCAAATGAATCGGTCTTTTCAGAAACAACATATGTTAAAACTTTCGAGTAACCCCTTATAATACACTTTAAGTTACTTCATACCCGACCTTCATCTTACACCCCTCGAGAGGGGCACCAGGTAGTTGCGGACAGAAGACGGTCGACACTTAAGCTGGATTTACAGTTTAACGGACTGTACGGATTTACGTTCCCGTGCGGAATTGTCATTTGTAAACAAAACGATCAAGATGGCTACAATAAATGGCACGAATAATGATTTCAATTTATAAAAAAGTAAAAAAGAGGTAAAAAAGACAATTATAAGTCATATATTATTAAGAAAGCGAGGCTTTGTGGGGAAGAATATGAAAATTATAAAGGTAATGTTGTACCTGCAAGATAACCAAGGGGAGACTGTGGGTAAGTTTTACGATTAAGATAGTTTTAAAACGTAAAATTATAATATAATTTATGTAGTTGTCGCTTGAAGTACTTTGAAAAAGTTAATGGAGCTGAAATGCTTGTCAAATTCAGAAGCATGCTTACTCAGAATGATCAAGATTCATACTTACAAAGGCCTTATTGGAAAGTGTGAAGTAAAAAAGAGACGACCTCGAAATGAAAATCCAAAGAATAGAAGATATAACATTATTAACTCCGTAACAGGCTCGTGTGGCAAAATTATTGTTTGCAAAAAAGCTTTCATCGGAATTCACACTGTGAGTAATAAAAGAATTCGAAGAATTTCTAGGCTTCTTGTACAAGGAAAAGCACCACTAGATAAACGTGGAAAAAATATTACAGGGATTGCTAAGATTTAATAGAACAGAATAAGACTCATATTGGGAATTTTCCCAATAATATTTCACATTACACAGGGAAATCACACAGCATTACTTAGACAAAAAATTGAATGTGCTAATTATGTATGACCTATTTTGTACCAAATTTTCTGATAATAATAATAATAATTTAGTGAAGTATAAATTTTATTTAAAGACTTTCCAGGAACATTTTTCTCTATCTTTTGGACGTCCACAGGTAGACACTTGCTGTGAATGTGAACAGGTAGAAATAAAAATTAAGAGTCCATCTTTAAACGAGAGAGCGAAGCGCATGGCCTTTGCAGAATTATCATAGAAGACGTGCAAAGAAGTTCTACAATAAAATGGCAGAAATTGCAGAGATATGCAATAAAGATGCCACTGTATGTGACCTGATGTTTGATTATAGCAAAATATTTAACTTTCATTTATTCCTATAGATGAGACTTTTCACTTACGTCAACAATCCAAGAACGCATTTACAATATGCAAAAAACAAGGGATGTTTTACACCTATCACAACGGTCAATCAAGAAAGGGTCCCAATGAAGTTGCTTCATTTCTTCTGGATTATATCATGTCTGAAATGCCTACCGCTGTGACAGCTGTGTCGGTCATATCATACTGTATCATACTGTAGTGAGATTTCTACTTTCGTTAGTAGATACGGGAAGTTTTAAAATCATAAACCAGTGCTTTCCAAAACGTGGCCATTCCTTTTTGCCGAACGATAGAAACTTTGCGGCAATAAAAAGAGTCAGAGAAAACTTTGTTCGTGTTTACCACACAAAAGAATATACAGAAATGATAGTAAATTCTACACGACACAAAAAGTTTCTTATTAAAATCGTGGAAACGTCGAATATTTTTGAATTCAAAAAGTGGTGGCTTAAACGTTACAAAAAAACGTGTTTGTCTACCGACTCTTTTTTTGTCGTTTATCGTTTTTATCATCATTTTTTTTTAAGAAATTATGCAGTGGTCTACTACTGATGCAATATATCTATATATATATATATATATATATATATATATATATATATATATATATATATATAATATATATATATATTCGTATGAATTTTACACATTGCAGTTTTACATAAAGAAAAGGAAGAAAAAAGTGACAATAACAATAATAAATAAGTAAGTAAATAGGTAAACACTGACACAGAACATATAAAACACTGCCAAAGAACTTGGTGGCTGGACACTCGAAGACGATGTGGTTAATGGTTTGTTCAGCGGCGCTGCATATGTCACATTCCGGGCTGGCATTTATACTCCATTGATTCAGCGATTTGTTACAAATTCCATGACCAACTCGTATTCTATTTAGGTTGCACCATTCACGACAGGGAAGAGAAAAGCCGTCTGGTTTGATTGTGGGGTTTTCTATCAGATTGGAATTTCTGATGTCTAGATTCCATTCGCCCATCCAGTGCTCTTCGGTTGTGAAAACAGCCAATTTTGTAGCAGTTCTAGTAGGTGGATGTCTGGATTTCAGTCTTAACTGCCTTTGGTGTAGTTCAGCGATGTCTGTGTTTATCGGTAGTTCTGGGTTTTGTTGGCATTTTTGAACTAGAGTGTTAAATGCGGCTAGTCGTCTTGTTGCTGGAGGAGCGATGTTGCTTAAAACTGGAAGCCACTGGGTTGGTGTGGGCTTTATAGTCCCCGTTATGTGCCTCATTGTTTGATTTAACTGGGTATCTATGACTTTTGTGTGATGACTGTTTAGCCAGTTATTAGATTAGCCAGTAGATTAATTGCATCTGATGCAATTAATGATGCAATTAATGATGATCAATGCTTATATGTACTTTGACAGACAATAAAATTTCCAAAAAAAAAATATTTTTTTTATTTCTGTTCTAAAACAACATAATTCACTTTTTTAAAACCATAATATGACTTAAAAAAAAAAAATTACAAAAAATATGTAACGCATAAAGTACAGGATAGTGAAATATTATTGCAACGATTAATTTTAAAGCAGTGTTTGTTACAGCGTTTTAAAACAGTTTTATATGATTTACTATTTTAAATGATAGTGGAGGTGTTGAACATCCTTGCAAGAAACACTGTGTGGCGTGAAAAAATAATGCGTCGTACCAATTTCACACAAACTAAATCCGAAAATTCAAGGAAAACAACTACAATGGTTTGAACATGTAATGAAGATAAACGATGAGTGATTGATAAAGAAAATACTAACATGAATTACATGAGAAGGGAGGAAAATAGAAGAACTCCATCATTATGCAAGAAAGAAGTGGATTTCGCCATGCAGGAGAGAGAGGCCTGGAAGGGGGAAATTGGAGAGACAGAAAGAGATGGAGACTGAAATACGGAAAGCATGAATCGACTAAAAAACGGACATCTATTAGTTTTTGGTACATGTGCTATTTATGCAGTTCTTTTATTAATTGTACTTACAGTACCTAGGTTCTTTCTATGTTATACTGTTTTCTTTTCTTGTTGCAAAGGAAATATTCATAAAAGAATAAATATTCTTTCTATACTACTAAAAAGCAAAAATTAGAGAATGCTGTTGATAAAATATAGTTAAAATTTTTTGTTCCCCTTCAAACCCCAGTTCACCAACGGACTCAGATACAAAAAAAAATATGTAAATACCCAATAATAGTTTCCAGTTGCATCGAAAACACATAATAATTGTACTTCAACTTTAGTAAAAACCGAAACACAAGGTCAAATCGATCTTGTTTTCATTGTGCATTCAATATTTTTGTTGTTATCAGCTGATTCATTACCCATTCTTATGTCATAGAAACCCGATATAGGGTTGGCTGGTATTGTATTGAGATGAAACAGCTGCTGGTACGTTAACAATATGCTGGATATGCGGGCGAATTAACACCTTGGTGTTTTGCGTATAATGTACGGGGTTGGTCCTAATTCGCCTTACACCTTGAGTGAAATATACGAGGACTTTTCTGTACATTGACAATTATTGATAATTTTGAAAAATAGTTTTAATCCAAACTCGTGTCAAATAAAATAAAACTGCAACAGTTTTAGTTTTGCTTTTTGGATTTCTCTCGAAAGCGGTAACATCAAAGGGTTTCGGCGTGTTTTGATACTCGAGTCTGTTTAGTGGAAATGGTCATGTTGTGGTTATTATTGTCGCTTTACTAATCCTGAATACAAATTTTGTACCAAATTAGTTGATGTTTTAGCTCGGAGATTTTTTCTAAATCGCCCACACTTTTTATTGAAACTGAATAGATCATGCCTGAAGGTAGCAAAATTTTCAAAAAGCGATGGACTCGTGAAGAAATATCTACCTTAACCCTTAAGTACCATGGCGGGTATTGACCCCCCGCATTTTTAGTGCCAAGTTTCGCTACCGAAACATAGATTGAGCATAGCTTGCTTTCTGCTAATCTTCGACCGGTAGGTGATTAATCATTTATCGATCTACGAAAATTCCGTTAGTTTATCTGTTACTACTGCAGAGTTAGGCACGCATAGGGTCAATTTTGACCCGCTTGTGGTATAAGTGTTTCTAGTGCAATTAACGAGTAATTTGAAATGGCGGGGTGTAGTCGCAATAAACGTGCTCTGACACAGAAAGAACTTGAAGAGGAGGGACAAAAAATTATGGGCAATGGACTAGATAGTGACAGTGAGTTTTTAGACCAGGCTAGTGAACACAGTGATAACGAAACAGACAGTGAAGAGGAATGGGACGATGATGACGAAAAAATTGGTAAATTAATAATTCCGAAACTGGTAGTGAATATTCGGGCGAAAAAAGTGATATAGCTGACTCAAGGGATGTGTTTTATGGCAAAAATAGGTACAAGTGGTCTAGAACTTCTCCCACCTTTTCTCCAACACGTAAGCATAATTTAATTAGTCATTTACCTGGTGTTATTGGAAAAGCTCGAGCA